AAAAGTTGTCATGTATGTACCCTAATGTTCAGCCAAAATGTTGGAGATGTGAATGTTTGGATGCTACGTATTATCATGTTTGGTGGACCTGTAGGAAAGTTAAGGCTTTTTGGATAAAAATTTGGTGGGTCATGCAGAATGTTTTGAAGAAAAAAATTCAATTTTCTCCACAATTGTTTTTATTGGGTATAGTTTAGGGTTTTACATTGGGTGAAACAAAATTGATATTGTATATGATAACAGCAGCAAGATTGTTGATAGGTAAATACTGGAAGAATGAAGCTTTGCCTACTATCGAGGAATGGACTTTGAAGATGGCCAGTTTTACAGAGATGGCGAAGATTCCAGCATATTTAAAAGATTGTTCACAAGAGACTTATGAATGGGAATGGAAAAGGTGGATAGAATATGTTCAGAACAAATATCAAACTAGAAAGTATCAAATAGCTTTTATTTGAAAATAATGTATTGGAAATATTTTAATGTAATGAGGTAAAGAGAAAATTATACAGGGGAGGGAGGGGTTCAAGTTTATATATGAGTGTTATATTAAGGGTTTTTTATGAGTATGAATATATTATAGGGAAGTCTGGGGGGAGGGGAGGGTTAGGGAGGGTTAGGGAGGTTGGGAAGTTTGGGGGGGAGGCGGGGGGGGGAAAGGGGTGAAAATGTAATTGTAAAACTTTTGCAATAAAAAAAAAATCTGTCATCCAGCTGTTTTTCCTTCTATTCTGCCTTCTGTTGTTTTTATAATGTTCTCTGTTTTCACAGCCTGCAGCAATTTTTCTGTACTTTGGTTCACATAATCATTCAAACTTCATTTTTCTTCTACAGTTTGATGGATTTGCAATAGTCCTCTGCCCCTAATAAATATTAATAATAATATTTATTATTATTAATAAATAATCTTTAGTGAGATTTACAGTCTTTGAGACTGGTTAATAGCTCAGCAGCTTGAGTCCTAACCAAGGACCTAGGAACTGTTAAGGTACCATCGGAGGATGTAAGCTGTTCTGAGTAAGGTGGTTTTTTGTAGAGTCAAAATGTTCAAGTCCGGTAAATTTAGAATTTCTAAATAGTGGGGTAGCTGCTCCAAGGGCTCCAATTACAATCGGGACAATACACAATTTCTTTTTCCACAGTCGCTCAACTTCAATTTGCAAGTCCCGGTACTTTGTGATTTTTTCTTGCTGCTTATCTTCAATCCGTGCATCCCAGATATTGCAATGTCAATGAACCATTCTTTTTTCTTGACATTATTATTATTATTATTGGTTAATCTTTAGTGAGATTCACAGCCTTTGAGGCTGGTTAATAGCTCAGCAGCTCGAGTCCTAACCAAGGACCTAGGAACTGTTAAGGTATCGTCGGAGGATGTAAGCTGTTCTGAGTAAGGTGGTTTTTTTGGAGAGTCAAAATGTTCAAGTCCGGCAAATTTAGAATTTCTAAATAGCGGGGTAGCCCTTTGGGTATTGCTCCAAGGGCTCCAATTACAATCGGGACAACACACAATTTCTTTTTCCACAGTCGCTCAACTTCAATTTGCAAGTCCCGGTACTTTGTGATTTTTTCTTGCTGCTTATCTTCAATCCGTGCATCACCAGATATTGCAATGTCAATGAACCATTCTTTTTTCTTGACATTATTATTATTATTATTGGTTAATCTTTAGTGAGATTCACAGCCTTTGAGGCTGGTTAATAGCTCAGCAGCTCGAGTCCTAACCAAGGACCTAGGAACTGTTAAGGTATCGTCGGAGGATGTAAGCTGTTCTGAGTAAGGTGGTTTTTTTGGAGAGTCAAAATGTTCAAGTCCGGCAAATTTAGAATTTCTAAATAGCGGGGTAGCCCTTTGGGTATTGCTCCAAGGGCTCCAATTACAATCGGGAACAACACACAATTTCTTTTTCCACAGTCGCTCAACTTCAATTTGCAAATCCCGGTACTTTGTGATTTTTTCTTGCTGCTTATCTTCAATCCGTGCATCACCAGGTATTGCAATGTCGATGAACCATACTTTTTTCTTTTCAACTATTGTTATGTCAGGTGTGTTGTGGACCAAGTGCCTGTCAGTCTGAATCCTAAAGTCCCACAAGATCTTGAGTTTCTCATTCTCTAAAACTTTCTCAACCTGATGTTCCCAGTGGTTTTTGCTGTACTCAAATCCAAACTTCTGGCACAATTTCCAGTGAATGATCTTAGCAACACGGTCATGGCATTGTAGGTAGTCAGTTTGTGAAATTTTGCTGCACCCACTGATCAGGTGGTCGACTGTCTCCTCTTTCTCATTGCAGAGGCGGCATTTGCTGCTGGTGGTAACATGTTGAATTTTTGCCTTCATGCAGTTTGTGGTTAGGGCTTGTTCTTGAGCTGCCAAAATAAAGCTTTCTGTTTCTTTTTTCAGTACTCCTGATCTTAACCAGTTCCAAGTTAGTTTCTGGTCAGCTTTGCCTTCAATACTTTTCAAGTATTGGCCATGCAGAGCTTTGTGTTTCTAATTTTCAGCTCGCTGCTCAGTTACTTCTTTCTTATATTCTGCTTTTGTTTTAGTTGTCTTTAAAAGGCCTCCTTTATTTACTTCCTTAATCATTGGTTCTTCACTTTTCTGGATGTAATCATTCAAGCTGCATTTTTCTTCTTCCACAGTCTGCTTTACTTGTAGGAGTCCTCGACCACCCTCTGCTCTTGGTAAATATAATCGGTCAACATCACTTTTAGGGTGCAAGGCATGATTCATTGTCATAAGCTTCCTTGTTTTTCTGTCCAAATTGTCTAACTCCATCTGGGTCCAGTCAATTATTCCTGCAGAGTATCTAATCACAGGTATAGCCCAGGTATTTATGGCTTTTATGATGTTTCCTCCACTCAATTTGGACATTAATATCTTACGAATTCGCCGAATGTACTTGGCTGAAGTTAATTCCTTGACTTTATTATGCATTAAGTCAGAGGCTTCTAAAATCCCCAAGTACTTGTAGCCTTCTTCTGATTTTACTGCCTTTATCATTTCTTCATTCTCTAGTTCTATTCCATCCTCTTCTATGATCTTGCCTGCTTTGGTTGCTATTGTTGCACATTTGTCAATTCCAAACTGCATAATGTCTTGGCTGAATTCTTTTGTGTTTTCAATTAATAAATTCATTTCAGCTTTTGTTTTACCAAACAGCTTCAAATCATCCATGTATATCAAATGCGAGATTTTCAGTCTTTTCTTTGCAAGTTCGTATCCACAGTTCATCTTCTTCAAAATGATTGTCAGTGGTAGCATTGAGAGTATAAAAAGTAGGGGTGAAAGGGAATCGCCCTGGAAAATGCCTCGTTTAATTTCAACTTCACCCAGTTCTTCTTCATTAGCCATAAGTTTCATTTTCCAGAGGTTCATTGAAGATTCCATGAATTTTTGTATGTTGCTGCTGATGCCTAAGATTTCCAGGCATTTCTTGATCCAGCTATGGGGAACTGAATCAAATGCTTTCTTATAGTCCAAGCCATGAACAGGTTGGTTCATCTTTTCTTTGAGTTCTTTAGGATTAGCTTGTCGATCAGCAATTGATCCTTTGTTCCTCTTGAGTTTTTGCAGCATCCTTTCTGTTCTACAGGAAGCAAGTTATTTCTTTCCAGGTATCCATAGATGATGATGATGATGATGATGATGATGATGATGATGATGATGATTTCCTTAACTCTGTGCCATCTTCTCCCAGTCTTTCATCATTCTCTGTCCAGTCCCTTTTTTTCTTTTCTGTCCTTTATCCTCCACTTCAATTCTCTTCAATTGTAAAGTTTATTGTCAATCTCCAAAAATGTCCAAAATATCCAATTTCAACAGCCTTAATTAGAAATCCCCAATCTTATTGTTTTCCAGTTCTATTCCGTCTACACCTCCATTAAATCCACCATGTCTCAAATCACCACTCAAGTTCCGCCTTTAATAAAGTCTTTTTCGTTCTTTAAATCCTTCCGTAAATTTCACAGTCCTAATAACATGAACAATAATGGAATAAATATATTTAATTTATAATCACTACCGCTCAATCCTCAAGATATATCCAGCTGGAGTTTTCTTTCCTCTTTTCACCTAATATCTCACCTTTTGCGCAGTCACTGCTTGTCAAATTGTTTCTTCCACTCCTCTTCCTTCTAATCACTGTGTTTATTTGGCAGTATTTCTGCCTCAAGTTTTGGAGTCTCGGTATCTCTGCTCCCCCGTTCAACAATATAATTGTACCTCCTTTTTGGGATCTTCTCTCCTACCAATTGCAATTCTGTTGGTTTTGATCTTCGCTTCCTACTCCTTGGCTGTCAGCACTTCGGGCCAGCCAAAATGTCTGGTTTCTTCCCCGCCAGAATTAGGTTTCTCCTGAACCTTCGGAGGGATTGCTTCCCCCCCCCCCCAAGGTCCTCAAAGATTCCTCTTTTTTCTATCAATCTCTCTGGGATTGATAGTGCCTATTTAGGCTTCCTAGCTGGGAAAAGTTAAGTTTCAAGAACGGAGCCCAGTTCCCTCGCCCCACTCACGCTGACATCACCGCCAGAAGTATTATTTCATTCTTTTCTTCTTCAATTTAACAACATTTTCAGTAGCAGAAGAGACAGAGAAAATAAAATCTACACAGTCCGTGTCAATTCAAGATTGAACAAGCATGACTTTGCTTTAAATTCAGAGTTAACCCGCATATGCAAACCAATATTATTTTGTTACACTTTACAATATTATTACACTTTAAGAGAGAGGGGGGAGGGGGAAGAGAGAGACAGGCAGACAGATAGACAGGAATCTCCAATTTAATATCCTCCAAATGTGTTGGGGCTACAACTCTGGTTAACTGGATCTTCTAAGAGCTGTAATTCTTAACCAATATTTTTCTGCCATAGAAAAATTCAATTCCATGCGGGACCAAATGTCACATAGGATCTGTTATCTATTACAGTAGCTTCAAAAAGAGCTGTTGAAAGATGCTAATGCAACTCAAATTCTTAAGGACAGTCTCTGCTTTGTACCTGGTTGTTGACCACAACATGAATAGTTCCATTTGTGGTGTATGGTGGAAGATCACTCAGATGGAAAGTTTCATAAACCACTCCTTGACCAGCAAAGGCCGCATCTCCATGTAGAAGTATAGACATAACCTAAGTTGTAATGGGTTTAAAAATAATACATGTAGTTACCAACCAACGATCTTACAAACAAGCATTTCTGTTTTTGGATGGAATTCACAAAGATTATTATGAAGGTGATGCAAGTGCGTTGGAAGAGGAGCTGTGAATGTGAAGCAGTTGCATGAACCATGTTGGTGTTTCTTTAAGGATTTGTGCAATCCTTTAAAAGCTGCACCCTGGAGCCACTTCATGCCTTAAGCAAAGAGCAGTTCTCAAAATTACCAGGTGGGTCTGGAAAGGTACGGGTTCTGTAATGATTTTGAAAAGAAGATCTTTGCATTTCCACAGATCCTGAAGCACTTCTTCTGGAGATACAGAGACCTACTGGTTATGGCCTTTAGTGCCCTCAATGTCTTGGGGCCAAATTCCCTAAAAGAGCTTCTGGAGCTCACAAATGAATTCTCCAGCTTCTCTCCTGGTTGGAACGGGACAAATCACCATGGCTGACTAGCCCTGGCTGTCTCACAGTGGCTGACTCACCCTGGCCAACTCACGGTGGCCAACTCACTGTGGGACCACTTGCTGTGGAACAATTCAACATAGGATAACTCAAGAGAGGGACAAGTAGAGAACTGCAGCTCACCCCAGCCTGGAGGACTTCCAAAGTTGAGAAGGTTCAAACCTAAAGCAAGACAAGGCCCACTGCAATTCACTTGTCCCTCTCTTGAGTTATCCTGCGTAGAATTGTCCCACAGTGAATTTTCCCACAGGGAGTTGGCCGTGGCAAGTTGTCCGAGACCCGTCTAGGTTGCACAATGATGACATGACATGCCAGGCATAATTTGCTCAGCTTGTACTGAACATCCATGGTGATTTCCCACTTACCTTCTATAAATTCAACTTGAGCCAGAATGAGCTTTGAAAATGGAACCTGTATGACAGTCAACCGAAGCTATTAAGACAATGTTACCTTTCTTCCTTCGGTATCCCCTCGGTAAAACTGTTCAGCTTTAGTTTTGCCTTGGACAACAGGATCTACCGCTTCCAAATGAGATGGGTTGGCCACAAGGGACAGGGTGATCTTTTTGTTCGTTACTCGGTTGATTCGCTCGTGATACATTCCCAAATGATATTTTACATCTCCAGATCCCTTAGGCAATCAGAAATTAGGAATGTTAATCTAAGCATATGCTCCCAGGATGGATTGGCAGAATGTTAAGCAATGATTTCTTTACGTAAACTCTGACTTATTTGTATGTCTTTATCGAATCAGCAAAATACAATATACCAAGAGTTTATGAAGATTCTCAGTCATCCAGGTCATGGTTGTCTCAAAAGTGCTTTTTTTCAAGAGACAACTGGACTTTCAGGTTTTTCTTTGAAGACGTCTCGCTTCTCATCCAAGACGTTTCTTCAGAGAAGGGGGGGGGATGGTGAGGTTACAGAAAGCTGCTCCTTAAAGAAACATTGCTTAATTCTTAGCAGTTGGTCTCGTGAGTATGAAATCCATAGAGAATCGCAGAGAATAATAAAACATTAAAAAACCATTATAGAGCAAGAAGAAGCAGCTTCTTGGATGAGAAGCAAAGCATCGTCAAAGAAAAAACAACAACAGAAAAGTCCAGTTGCCTCCTGAAAAAGCCCCATGAAGGGACAACCATGACCTGGATGACTGAGAATCTCCACAGACAGCTACATCCTGATAGGCCAAGTGTGGAATCCTTGCTTTTTAAAAAAAAATATATATTTAATATACAATGTAAATAATTATTGTTCAGTGATATGGCAGAGCATCCAAATTAATTAAACAAATGGTCACTCTAGCTTTTATGGAAAGTTGATCAAGTTGCCAAAACCCAAAATACCCACACAACAGTGTGATCAAGACAACCAATAGTAGCCGACAATATTTGGAAAAGTTGAAAGGATATTTTCCCACCTCATCAGCTGCTTCAAGCTTTGGGTCAAATTGACAAAATATTTGTTCAAGTTCTTTTCGAATAACATTTGCCAACACATTCAGTCTTCCTCTGGGAGGAAAAAAAAGCATCCAAAATAAATCCCAAGAGTTAAAAATCAACAAATCTATACCCATATAATTGATGGCTAAGATCAGTGATCAGTGTCATACATCATGGTTTAAAATGTTACTATTTCTCTCCCTAATGTTATTATCAGTGTATTTATACCTCACCTAAATGTGAGCAGAAGTGTTTTAAAAGATAAGATAAATTACTGAAATTAGCAGACCATTAATAAACAGACAATAAGCTGAAAGGCTAAACTGCCAATTGTTGGGAACAATGGACGAGAGAATTGGGAAAAAGCAGCACGCAACAGCATTAAATGTTAAAAGGTGTTCGAATCTCACCAGGCTCAAGGTTGACTCAGCCTTCCAGCCTTCCAGGGTCAGTCAAATGAGGACCCAGATTGTTGAAGGTAATAGGCTGATTCTGTAAACCGCTTAGAGAGGGCTGTAAAGCATCATGAAGCGGTATATAAGTGCTATTGCTATTGCTAAGAGATTCATTCATTGTCAATACATAACTGTGATTTGCTCCCGATGCCACTCTAGAAGTGTGCCTTGATGATAGTAGCAATAGCACTTAGACTTCAGGGTGCTTTACAGCCCTCTCTAAGCAGTTTACAAAGTCAGCTTATTGCCCCCCAACAAACTGGCTCCTCATTTTACCACCCTCGGAAGGATGGAAGGCTGAGCCAACCTTGAACCGGTCAGGATTGAATTGCCGGCAGCCGGCAGTCAACAGAAGTAGCCTGCAGTCCTGCAGTCCTGCGCTACCACGGCTCTTATTAGCATTCTACAGCCAATGTTTAAAAACAAAAGTGAGGCCCAAATCCCTGATAATATTCAGGAACTGCAAGCCAGTGCCTTGCTGAGGGATTAAATGACCCAGCCAGGCAATTACCTGTGGGGCATGCCCATTATAACATATTCAATTCCCATTTCACTTGATTTATCAATGATTGTTTTAAGAGCAGGAATCATGACTTCGCATCCTTCCAAGCCAAAGCGCTTTTCCGATGACCATTTCCTAGCCAGGAAATCCTCAAACCTAAGGAAGTGAAAAAGCAAACTTAGGTCTGTTGCTAAAACAAAAAGCAAACATCCATTGATGTAGCACGTATAATGACCTCAAACAATCCCAATCTTAGAAACTGCACTTGAATACAAGAGTATTGCATAGTTATTTATCAGCAACAAGTAAACAGGATTCCTTAATAAAATAAAGGGAGGGAGGAACAGGAGGGAAGGGGAGTGGAGAGGGGAAGAGAGACATATAGGATCAGAATCCATCCATATAGCCATTAATAAGGAGTCTGTTCTTCTTGTATAGAAACTAGATACTAAGAAATGCCTTCCCACTTTATTAAATCGATCCGTCTCATGTTAATCAGCACAAGCAGCAGAAATTGTACGGCTGAAGGTTTTTCCCCCCACTTCCAGAAAGATAAATGAGCAAAACTTCTGTGTGACATGCGGTTAACAGCCTGTCACTCAAATGTCATGTTAACCCAATTATTAAAAGCATCTGGCTGGAATTCATTTTTATTTTAATTAAATTCAAGCAACAGTGATCTACAGCTGTCTCGCTGAATAAATACTCCCAGGGAAGGCAAATGTTGTATTTGAGGAACAATGTGAAATTAATATTTAAACGTTCTTGAGAGGACAAGCATTCATGGGTAGGTTCATTAACTGTGATGAGGGCTCCCCAAAATGCTGTGTTTTTATGGGGTTTTTTGCCTCAACCTGCCCTAAGAATGCAGAGGGAGGGGAAACCCTGAGTATTTACTAAACAGCTAAGACAGCTTTGCTGAAAGAGGTTCTCCTAAGGCAGATCTCAACAGCACACGCTTATCACATCCTTCCAAATATACCTTGTGGATCGTACCAGCCTGGCCAACAATGTCCGTTTTTCTTCGTTGTTAAATTTCATGACACCGGGCATCTCAAACTTCTGCCGGATCCAATCACACTGTTCCACATCATTAATAAACATAAATTCCAGCCCTATGTGTTGACAATAGGTATTCTGGACAGCAAGGCAATAGATGTATAAATGAAAAGGGGGATATGACAGGCAAGTCAACAAAGTTTTCCTTTACAGTCTATTGCTACACCTTATATAGAAGTCCATACAGCTGCGCAGTAGAACATGGGAGCAATCCTCCCTTTTCGTTCACAGAGGGCATCTCTCTCCAGCTCACATCCCCCACCCAAATGCCAATCTCCCCCCCCCATTTACTATGGCAGTCGATAGCAAGCAAGCATCGTAGAGGCTGACACTGTGTTTCTCCCTACCCATAGTATTACCTCCTTCAAAATCCCCAGGAACTCTGGCTGCATTTTGTTTCCGAGACATTCCTCTGACTAGTGATATTAATTTACCACCAACAACTAGTTAAATAAAATTTGTAGCAAGAAATGATACAGCCGCTTTGGGGTCATCAGATTTTACTCCTCACCAGAAGACTGGAGACTGTTGGGGCCCTTGGTGCTCTCTGAGCCTGCTGGTTTTCTTGCAGACATTTCATGACCCAACTAGATTACATCATCAGGGCTAGAAGGGAGGTGGGGGGTTTGCTCTCTTTTTATATTCCAGTGGCTTGCCCTGTCAGTGTTGGTGGAAGACTGATAATCGCCCACGTCCCATTTAGGAGAAGAAGCAACCACACTGACCTCCAGCCGCCTGATAATCTCCCGTAGAGAAAGCATCGTCTCATTTCCTCCTATGAAGGTGGTTGTGGGCAATCGGAAGACTTTGTCCAAGTCAGATTCGTACAAGCCATAAAACTCTGTGAGGTGAACATGATTAGCAAAGAGACAGGAAGGCGGCAAGCCAAAGTCAAACAAGGGTCCCACACCCCAAGGATCTCCACCTGACACGTGCTCACCTTCTTCCCTTTCAGACCTTCTCTGCAAAGAATTGCCTTCTCATGGGGAGAAGAAGGGTTGCATACTGACTGGATTCACACAACACACTGAGTGACTGGCTAACCCATGATTTACCGAGGGAGCCCTGCGTGATTAGATTTGAGCAAGCTATGCCGTAAGACATGGTTGACATATAGAACGGCTAATGGGAGATGTGAATGCCTCCGTTATACTGCTTAGTCAAAAATGGATGTAGAGCGAACACACATTTGGTGCTTGCTTGGAGATTTTTGCAACCATGCGAGCATTTTTTTCAAGACATTATGATGCAAGTTAATGCCTTATCTATTGAAATACTGTATATATTTTCTTTCTCAGGATTTCTTATTTTAGTATTTATTTCTTAGTTAATTTTTTGAAGAGGGAACTGACTTCTGAACATGTTTATGGAGATTTTTGGTCAAATAGGTCATGATTGTCCCAAAGGTGCTTTTTCAGGAGGCAACTGGACTTTTTTTTCCCTTGAAGACATTTCACTTCTCATCCAAGAAGCTTCTTCCAAAGAAACTCCGAAGAAGCTTCTTGGATAAGAAGTGAAACATCTTCAAGGCAAAACAAGGAAAGTCCAGTTGCCTCTTGAAAAAGCACCTTTGGGATGACTTCTGAATATTTCTTAAAGTTCACCCCAGATTCCTGCTACTTAAAAACCTCTCTCTTCAGGCCTATACAAACAGACACACCCTTCAGTTAAGTATACAATGCATGTGTGAACATACGCAAAAATCCACATACATATAAAAAATGCTAATCTATTTACGATAAACTAATACACATAATTAGAGGACAATCTCACTAAAAAAGATTTGGCTGCTACGTTCCAGTAGGAAAAAAAATTGCAATGCTTAACTAACTTGCCAGTTGTGTTTTGTTTCCCTGAGACATTCCTCTGACTATGGATATTAATTTACCACCAAGGCGGTTTAAAACTCTCACCCAGTTTATCTATAGTAGTGATTAAATCCGACGGAATGAATGAATCCAAATCGGCATCCAGGATTCCTAAGGGATCCAACTGAGCCACGTGGTGTCCCCGGATCTGAAGAGGTCAGAGTGGGAAAGAAGGGAAGTAGGAAAGGCGAAGAAAAGAACAAACATCATGCTAAACTGAGTCAATCAAAGCTCACCGAAACTTGTGGAATTACAGTGATTCATGGAAGCATCAAAAGAAACGGCATGAATCCCCAGAGGATCAAGCTGGGCTTTGTAGTGCCCTACAAACTGAAGATAAGAACTCCTGTCATTTATGGGTATGGGAATTATAAGAAATCTTGTCTTACCTAGTTTGCAAAATTTGGTCCAATTAGCAATGAAAAGCATTTTTATATCCAATGGCAAGTGTTAAAATTCTAATTCTAATTTTAAATTAGTTTTTTCAAATTAATTTCAAAATTAAAATTCTAAGGTGCATTCCTTATAGCAAACAGACCAGTGGTAGGTTGCTCCTGGTTCAGTCCGGTTCTATAGAACCGATAGTAAAACCGGCGGGAGGCTCCACTCACCCACCACACCATCATCATGGTTGACCTGCGCATGTGCAGAAGCAGCACAAGCGAGCGAAACGAGCGCGCATGCATGCTCCCGCTGCGAACCGGTAGTAAAGGTAATTAGAACCCACCCGTGAAACAGACAGAACTCTATCCAGTGACATCACAAAATAGCACTGGGAAATTTCAGTGGTGAATATTCCCAAATTGGTACTTGTGTGGTTATTCTTTTTTTTTTTTTTTTTTTTTTAAATTTTTATTATAGTCCAACATACACAGACAAACACGAACATTTAAACAAACTATACATAAACTAACTATACAATGAAATCAAGTCCTGAGACTTGAGCTTTGAAGTGGAGATACTTCGGTAATTATATATCAATATATCTGTACATATTATACTTCATCATATATCAATATTTATATAACGGTATTTCATTTTGTTTCTGTATTTAGATATAATTGGATGGTATTTCCTTAATTCGTGTCCTTTTTTTCTAACCAGTTATACCATTTTTGCCAAATTAGGTAATAGTCTGAGTCTTCTTTTCCCTGAATTTCTTTGGTCAGTTTATCCATTTCCGCACATTCCATTGTTTTTTGTATTACTTTTTCCTCTGTTGGCGTATTTTCCAATTTCCACATCTGTGCAAAAGCGATTCTGGCAGCGGTTAGGATGTGTATAATTAGGTATTGTGTCTCTTTTTTATAATCTTTTGTGAGTATTCCTAATAAGTATGTTTCCGGTCTAAGGGGTACCTTTTGGGTGGTGATTTCTTCTAATTGACTTTGAATTGTTTTCCAAAATTTTTTAACTTTTGGACATGACCACCACATGTGGTAGTAAGTCCCCTTCTGTGTTTTACATTTCCAGCAATTTTGATTGGTGTTGGGGAACATCTTTGCCAGCCGTGCAGGGGGGAGATGCCATCTGTAAAACATCTTATATGTATTTTCCTTGTAGGGCACGGACATTGTCAGTTTAGTATTGACTTTCCACATTTTTTCCCATTTTTCTAGATTAATATTATATCCAAAATTTTTAGCCCAAATAATCATATTTTCCTTCACCACTTCTTCTTCTAGTTTGTATTTAAGCAAATAATTGTATATTTTAGTTATTAATTTATCATCTGATTGCATTATAATTTTGTCTAATTCATTTCTTTCTTTTTGGATTCCAAATTTTTTCATATCACTTTTATATCTTGATTTTATCTGTAAATACGTCCACCAATCAATGTCCGTGCCCTGTTGTCTCAATTCCTCTGTTGTTTTTATATCTCCCTCTGTATTCAGCAATTCGTCGTAGGTCTTCATTTTATTCATATCCATTGTGTTCGGGTAGATTTGTGCTTCCATGGTTGATATCCATCTTGGAATTTTATCGTAATGTTTCCTTCTTATTTCAATCCAAATTTTTGCCAGTGCTCCTCTAATGTAGTGTCTCCTAAAGTGTTCATGCTGTCTGGGCTTTTCCTCCCATAGGAATGCGTGCCAACCTTTGAACAGATCGAATCCTTCTAGGGCTAATATTCGTTTATCTTTGAGTGTCATCCAATCCTTGATCCAGGTTAGGGCTGTTGCAATGTAATAGGTTTGCCAATCTGGTAATCCCAGGCCGCCTCTTTCTTTGGTATCTTGCAGGTGTTTCAATTTAATCCTGGCTCTCTTCCCCTGCCATATATATTTGGATATCATTTTATCGAGGTCTTTAAAATATGTTTTCCCCGGATTTATCGGTATTGTTCTGAATAAATATAACATTTTTGGTAGAATAGTCATTTTAATTGAAGCAATTTTGCCTAATAATGATAGTTTTAATTTACTCCATGCCTCTAAGTCCTTCTGTATCTGTTTAACCAATTTGATGTAGTTATCTTCTTTTAATGATGATACTTTATTGGTGAGCCAAATTCCTAAATATTTTATTTTAGTTGTTGTTTGTATTCCTAATGCCTCTTCCAGCTCTTCCTCCTGGGGCTTTGTCAAATTTTTAGTTAGTAATTTAGTTTTTTGTCTATTAATTTTCAAACCTGCTACATCGCCATATTGTTCTATCTTCCTTAATAAATTCAGTCCTGATTGTTTCGGTTGCTCTAATATAAATACTACGTCATCCGCGAATGCTTGTAGTTTATATTCCTGGTTTTTTGTTCTTAATCCTTTTATTTCATTGTCATTCCTAATTTCGTTCAATAGGGGCTCCAGCGCTAGTATATATAGTATAGGAGAGAGGGGACATCCTTGTCTCACTCCTTTGGATATTTTAAATTGGTCTGTTGTCTCTCCATTTATCCATATTTTTGCAATTTGATCTGAGTATATTGTTTTAATCATATTAAGAAATTTCTCGCCAGTTCCCATTTTTTCTAGTTGCAATATTAAAAACCCCCAGTTAAGGTTGTCGAAGGCTTTCTGTGCGTCGAGGAAGAGTAAGGCCATCTTTTCATCTGATTTTTGCTCATAGTATTCCAGTATATTAATTATTGTTCTTGTGTTCTTGTTGATTTGCCTATTTGGAATAAAACCATTTTGGTCTGGATGGATATAATTCACAATAATTCTCTTCATTCTCTGAGCCATGATCGATGTAAATAATTTATAGTCTGCGTTTAGAAGTGATATGGGTCTGTAGTTTTTGGTTTGAGTTAGGTCTGAGTCTTCTTTAGGTATCAGTGTAATAATTGTCTCTACCCATGATTTGGGAATTTTAGCTTCTAAAATCGCTTCGTTCAGGACTTGTAATAGAATGTCATCCATTGACTGATTCTCGATTTTGTAGAATTCTGCCGGGATACCATCTGGGCCTGGTGTTTTATTGTTGTTCTGCTTCTTCTTCGCTTCAATTAATTCTAACATCGATATTGGTCTGTTCAAGAGTTCTCTTTGAGTTTCTTTTATTTCTTGGATATTGGCTTTGTTTATATATTCTTTTACTTTCTCCAATTGGATTTCTTCCTGCGTATATAGTTCCTGATAGAAATTTCTTACAATTCGCTTTTTTGCCTCATTCATATGCTGTAGTTGCCCTTGTTCGTCTTGTAGTTGGTGTATTAGTCTTTTCTCCTTTTCTTTCTTTAGTTTATATGCCAACCAACGTCCTGTTTTATTAGCGAATTCAAATTGGTTTTGCTTTGCTATTCTAATCTTCCTAGCTATTTCTGTTGTTGTTATTAAGTTTATTTCATGTTTGATATGGTTTATTTTTTCCTTAATCTCTTTCCCATCTGGTCTGTTCTGTAATTCTAGTTCTTGTTTTCCGAGCTCAGTCATTAGGTTATTCCTTCTTTGCTGTTTCTCTCTGTTTTTCTTCACCTTGAATGAAATTGTTAATCCTCTTATATATGCTTTTGTGGCATCCCATAGAATTTGTAATGATGTATGTTCCTTTTTGTTTATTTGAAAAAATATCTCCATCTCTTTCTTTATCATCTCTATGTATTCTTTATCTTTGGTAATTTCTCTATCCATCATCCATCTTCCTCTCTTTAGCCGGCCTTTCCAGACTATTGTTATAGGACTGTGGTCTGCCCATATGTTCGGTGTGATTTCAATTTCTTTTATGCTTTCTCTTAGTTCTGCCGTCATCCAGGCCATGTCTAGTCTGGACCAAGACTGATGGGGATTTGAATAATATGTATACTGTTTTTTGGTTTTATTCAATTCTCTCCAGGCATCTTTCAGTTGTAACTCTTGAGTCATGTCCTTAAAAGTGTCCGGTAGTGTCTTTTTCTTAGATTTGTTTTTTTTGTTACTTTGGTAGTCATAGTCCATATCTACAATTGCATTATAGTCCCCTATTATACATATGTGTTCGTAGTCTAATTCTTTAATTTTATCGTGTAGCCTTTTGAAGTATTCTTTTTGGTTCCCGTTTGGAGCGTATATTGATACTAGTAGCATGTTTCGGGCCTCCGTCTTAATATTGACCATTAATATCCTACCATCTCCGTCTGTGTAAATTTGTTTTGCCTGAATATGATTTTTAATGTATATTGCAATGCCTCTTTTTTTTTGGTCTGATAGTGAGGTAAATAATGATCCAAGTTTTCTGTTTTCTAATAATTGTTTGTGTTGTTTTTTAATATGTACTTCTTGTAAAATGATAATGTCTGTATCTAATTTTTGAAGTTTTTTAAAGGTGTGTGTTCTTTTGGTTGGTAGATTAAGGCCATTTATGTTAATTGAAATTAATTTCAACTCTTGTCCCATTTCCTTTAGTTTTTCTTTGTTAGTTTGAGTTTACTTGTGTTTCTTGTTACCATTTGTGTTTTCCCCCTAGCCCCTTCTCTTTCAATCCTCTCTTTTTCCCTAGACTCCTTTTCTTCCTTTCCTTGTTTTGTTTCCCCCGTAGGGTGTTCCTGGTTTGTATTATCTGGGTCACACCTAGTTTCCTGTTCTTCTTCTATTATGAAATGCGTGTCAAAAAATTCTTGTGCCTTCTCTATCGTGTCGATTTTATATTTTTTGTCATCCCAGGATATTAGAATTCCCTCTGGCACCAGCCAGCGGAACATTATTTTATGTTGGTTCAGTAGGGTTGTCAAGAAATTGTAGTTTTTCCTATATTCTCTTATTCTTCTTGGAACTTGTTTTAAAGTTATTATTTCTTTTCCTTTGTAGCATGGTTTCTCCTCTCTCATTAGTGTATAAATCTCTTCTTTTACAGTTTTACGTGCGAATCTGACATGTATTTCTCCAGGTAGTTTGTGCCTACGGGCATAATTCGTATGCACTCTATAAATTTCGTCAATTTCCCTACTAATATCGTTTTTTTCCTTTTGGGTAGCCTCAACTAATATATCTGTCATCAAGTCTCTTAGATCTTCTCCCTTTGTTTCTGCAATATTTTGAAACCGTAAAAAGAAAGATGCCTTTTCTAATTCTAAATGGGTAATTGATTCTTCAAGTTCTCTGTTTACCTCCATTTGATTTTGTTCGATGTTATCCATCTTCTTCTCCGATTGGACCATTTTGGCTTCCATATTTTGAATTCGTTCTTCGTTTTTAACTATGTTTTGTTGTATTCTTTCAATCTTATCGTCCATTTTTTTTATATTGTCGTTTATTTGTCCTACTTCTAATTTCAATTCCTCATGATTCTTTTTTGTTTCTTCGTGGTTATTCGCTATTGTTTCTTGGGTCTTGTTCATCCCCTCCTGTATCATTGCCAATATAGACTGTATATTCTGTATGTTGTGTGTAGTAGCAGCTTTATCTTTGTCTGTAGTTAGCATTGTGTCTATGGTTTTTTGTTGTGCAGGTGAAGATTGTATGGGTGCTGGTTTTTCCCTTGTTTAGTTATTGTTATTGAGGATGTTGCCATCGTTTTTTGTATTATTTTTTCCCAAATTTTCATACACTGATTGGGGGTATTTGAAATATCGTTATATAGAAGTCAAATTGATTAATTCAGTGGGGTTAAGGGGAAATACAGTGTTTTAGCAATTCATTTTCCTGTTCTTATTCCTAAACAGTATAATATAATCAATATTTAAATGCCAACTTATATTAATACTAAATCACATTAATGATCATACTTATTCCAATACTTAAATTCACTTTGAGCCTAAACAATTCATATATACCTTTATGTAATAAACTTATATAGTCTAAGATTCCCTATAAATCATATAAGATATTCTATTAGGTTCTATATGTATTTAAGTTATATCACAGTTGCCAATATGTAGTACTTATATTAATTATCACAATTATTATTCCTTGTTATTCCTTAATATTATCTATAACAGTCTCTTTACAATGTCTATGTTAATATCTAAATTTCCAATCAATACACAATATAATTCCCTTAATCAATATATTACTATAGAATCTATTATCTTATTTCAATGAGGTGGGAAACCATAGGACAATAAAGAAGGGAAAAAGGAAAAAAAAAAGAAAAAAAAATTAATCTTAAGTCAATTTGATATATATTATATTAACTTCAAAATTGGTATTAGTATTATTTAGGCAAAGTTAATTAAACTGTAGTTGGATTTTGTAATATAAATAAAATAACTATATTTGATAATTGGATGTTAAAAGTTCTCCATTAAATCACTTTCAAACCAATTGGAATTACTTCCTTCTCCTTCTTCCTTCGTTCTTCAGTTCGCCTTCAGTTCGCCCAGCTTTCACAGTTCTGTTGCAACAACTTCCGTTGAAACAGTAAAATATTTGTTCCGATTTGTAGCAAGTTATATCTCCTCCGCCGACAGCATCAATGTGTCCAATGTCTTATTACAAGTCCTTTATTTGTGGTTTGGATTTGTTATTACTGCTGGATACAAAGTAAAAACTCCTTCTCCAAGTCCTCGGTCCTCAGTCCACCTTTCACTCCGTTCAGCTGATTCCCTTTTGCCCGCAACAGTCTTAAAGAGTCTTAATTCTTAAGTTTCACTTTCTACTATCACTTTCTCAAATAGTTTTTATTCTTTGTGAAATCAAAACACGTTATTTATAAAATTATAATCCACCGTTGCTTGTAATCCTTTCCTTCCGTCTCTCGTCCTTTCGCCAGTCAAATCTGCGCTGTCACTGTGAGTGTTAGTTTCCGCTCCGATCACTGTCTCTCGCCGCTTGCCTGGCGATCTTACCGCCGCTTTTAGGAGTCCTCTTTTCGCCGATGTTTTAATTCCTTAAATCTTTATAAATATACCTTCACTTTTCAGATAGTTTAGTCCAATTACCGATGTTTCTCTCTGCGATCTTCGCTTCCACACTTATCGGTTGACAGCGCTCCGGCCAGCCAAAATGGCTGGTTTTTTCCCGGTTGGAATTAGGGGTTTTTTCTCTGAACCTTCGGGATGATTGCTGTCACTCCGAGGTCCTAGGGAATCCTCCTTTTTCTATCGACCTCTCCGTGGTCGATAGTGCCAAAAACGGCTTCCAATCAAGAAATTTGGAACTTCGGGGACGGAGCCTCGTTCCCCTCGTTCCTTACACGCTGACGTCACCGCCGGTACTTGTGTGGTTATTCTTATGTTTTTGCATGATACGACACCTTTCTGATAAGTTCAACGTAGGCTTTAATTCTCTTAAATATTCTCTAAGTAGATGGGCACGGGGTCTAGGACAACTCACCACAGGCAACTTGCCAACTCCGTGTGGGATTAGATCCTTTTATTATTTACCAAAGCATTACAAAAGGTAGCAATCGTAGGAATGATTTCCTTTGATAAAAGAAAATAAAATAGTTCCTTGAGAAAAACATAGTCAACAAAAATAAAAGGAAGTAAATGAATCCCATGAAGTTGTCCCCTGGTGAGTTGGCCATGGCAAGTTGGCTGTGGTGGCTTGTCCCATTCCGGTGTGCATATGTGGGTGTTTAGAAACAAGTTATAGCAATAGCGTTGAAGACTTATATATCACTTCACAGTGTTTTACAGCCCTGTCAAAGTGGTTTACAGAGTCAGCCTATTGCCCTCCAACCATCTGGAGAGAATTAGGAAACAGGACTTTTCCTTCTGAGTGCCCTAATTGCACATACAGCATTGGATAAGATATTACTTCTGGTCAATTTGCAAGAGACGACGGCTCTTTCTGTTGCTTTGAACAAATTCCACTTAGAATGATTATACTGTAAACAGTTCTCTTTAATTCTGCTCAGCTGGTATTTATATTACAGTAAACCAATTTCTGTTCTGAAGCAAAAGAATGCACAGTAGGTCTTCTGTTGTACTTGATATCTTACTGAGATAGACATGAGTCTCCCCTAAACATTTGTTAGGGGGTATAGCCACAGATATATTTTAGTGTCAAAGGTCACTTCATTTTCAAAGGCCTTGGCTTGGCAGCTTTCTTTGATTTCCCCTTGCAATAGATGTCCCATATCCATTCATCCATCCTTCCTTCCTTCCTTCCTTCCTTCCTTCCCTTCCTTCCTTCCTTCCTTCCTTCCTTCCTTCCTTCCTTTTCCTTCCTTCCCTCCCACCCGCCCTCCCTCCCTCTATTTTATTAACAAATAGATTCTTGTTGCTGGTACATTGCTGGTACCCTGCAATGCTGTTTTATTCAGTACAATTTCTAAGATTCTAAGATTATTCGGTGCAATTTCTAAGATTGTTGCTTGCTGTGAACAGTTTAAGTCTGTGGTCCTTCCTTCCTCTTTCTTTGGCTTCATATACTGTATCTGATGGATGCTACTGAATTTGGCAGTTATGGAAACATGGCACAGAAATGGTAAAGAGTGAAAATTATTATTCCCTGTTAAACAACAGTGTATCGTTATGCCCGGTGGTACTCTTTTTACCCAACCCCTTAGAAATTAGATTAAGAACTTTCACAAAATCAAATGTCTCCTTCGACAGGATAATATAAAGCTGGACAACTTTGACAGAAGTTAAGTTATTAAAAACTTAATAACTTTAATAAGTTATTTAATAAGTTATTAAAAACTTCTAAGAACGTTTTCAAATGGAAATGGAAGAGAGTCTCTTGTTCACTTACCTGGTAGGCTCTGATCAAGGACTGGACCGCCAGATGGTCTTCAACCAGCTTCTCAGCCATACCAGGTGCTTTAGTCAGCCTATGGCTTTGGAGGGATGTTTTCGTTTCAGAAAGGTCTGGCAAAGTTGAAGAGAGGGGCTGTCCAGGAAGAGCCTTAGCAGTAGCATTACGGAAAAATAAATCCCAAGACTAAAGAAGATGGTTGAGGGCAAGAGAGGAGTGAGAAATGGTTAACTTAGACCTGGCAAGATTTCAACAACGTAATACTGTGTCAGACCTGCCTCAACTTGGTCTTCTAAGTAAAAAAGATCCTTAACTCCATTGGTTGATTAAGGTATAGTTTACTAAAAGTCAAATGAATTACAATAGTGCAAAGCCAGAACTAAGGGTTCACACAGCAAATTTTCCCAGTTAATTTTCCTCCCTTAGTCCCTTCCCATTACTTGTCTCTTCTTGTCCAATCAAATTTAAAAGAGATGCTTTGGAAACAGTCACTCATGTCAACATTCTTCTTCCAAGGAAACAACCTTGAAGACTTCCTCGGTTCTCGCAGAGAACTCTTCTCACAATTCGGTTTCACTTTCCCCCAAGCTCTCTCCTTCCCTTCCAGCTCCCATCGGGGCCCATGGCGGACTGGCAGTGAGGTGGCAGTTCTGACATACTGATCCAAACAGAAGCCCTCACTTTGACATCCCTTTTCCTACTTCCGTATCCTAAACCTCCCATTCAGGTCTTCACACATATCCTATTATCATCCTTGTTGAAAAACCAAAGGCAGCCATTGCAAATGTATTAAGAAATTATTATTATTATTAAATGCCCTATTACATTTGGATTCAACAGTTAGAATCAGAAACGACCAATGGATTTATATAGTGATCTTTCCTCTACCCAGTGATGCATTTCAATCCTGCCTTGTTTTTATGGTGGTTTCCTACATTACCAATATCAATACAAAATGTAGTAAGCTGTGACTGGCTGATCCATGGTTTGCTGAATAATTCACAACACGGCTCTCGTAATGCTGAGCCAAAACTTAATAAATAGGCTTGCATGAGCCACACGCTGCTAGCCAACCACTGAAGCCTAGCATGTTGAATGAACCAAAGTCTTGCAGATAGTACATGGTCCAATTGGTTGAATAAACTATGGTCCGGTGAATCAAATTTCCTTAGAGGAGTTTGCCATTGAATATTTCTGCTTATCTACTACAAAAATCCCCATCTTCTGAAAACGAATGAAGTATGGACTTGTTAGACAATGATAGTATATTTTCATTACTAGACTGTGTTGTTTCTCTGTGCCATATGATATATGTGGGTATGTGGGTATATGCATAATCTTCTATTTATGTATTTATATTTTTGTCATGCTTATGTAGTGTATGTTGGAGGTGGTGACTCTTTGAGAGCTGTAGGTAATGAAATTTCATTTTAATGTGTGCTGATTAGTGTACATTTAAAGTGACAATAAAGTTATTGTAAGTGTCAACTTCAAACCAAACCTAGCAGCAGCCATCTTTCTGTTCCTCAGTTGCCACACAGAGGAGGAAGGGGGGGGAAGGAGGTTGGAATGCATTACATGACACAACAGAGAGCTTTTTCATGAGAACCAAGGTCATCTCTACTGGCAACCAATAAGGTTGGGGAAGGAATGCCCGAAGAGATTGCCAATTAACCCAATTGGCCAACGTGATCTGTGACACTTGGGGATGGGGTTATTTCCTAGTTTAATTATACTGAAACCACAGGAAAAATTTAGGATTGGTTTTTCTTTGAAGCTGTGCCAATATGATATACTCAATCAAGAAGTCCTTTGAGAAGGAACCAAGTCTCAAGAGTTCTGCTTTGCTTGGATTCATTAGTCAGAGCCTTGACATTAAGTTATTCGTGTCATTCATTTGAATGTGAAAGTCTTCTTCAAATGAAGATCAACTCCTGGTGACTCCATGGATGGAGGGAGCTCCCTGTTGCTTTTTCACTAATGCTTTCATCGGAGGTGTTTTGCAGTTTCTATCCCTAGAGCCTTCCAGGTCCTCCAGGGTTAATCCTGTTTAGCTTTCCTGTGCAACCAAGGTCAAGTGAGGCAAGACAGCCTGGAATCACAAGTGTCATCTGGGAACAGCATCATTGCAATCTCCTTGGCGGTGTGATGGAAGCAGCTTGCATTGTCTTCCTCCTGGATCATTTTTCTCCTTCCCAATCTACCACCAGCCTTAAGGCTTCATGGTTATCCCTTTTCAAGAATTAATCAGGGTCAATTGAGATAGCCAAGGACAACCAAGTGCTGCTAATTGTTTAGGCAGACAGATGCTGGCACAACTAAGCCTGTACTTAATTTAACCCCGAGGCACTCCACTCCACGAACTGAAGGACAGATCAATTCCCTGCTTCATCAATTCCCTGCTTCGTAATAGAATGAGTAACTCAATTTGCATGACTTGCAAATCCTCAACCAAGTGAGCAAAAAGTCATTATTATCTGTTGAACCAAGAAGGAAACATTCACTGCCTATCCCCAAAGAGATCACACCCAGGTAGGAAAGCAATTATCCCAATAGCATTCTTGATTTAGCATCTTATAATAAACTTCATTTTATGAATATCTTAAAGAGTGAAATAGTTATGTTACAGGTAGTCCTCAACTTACAACAGTTCATTGAATGACCATTTGAAGTTACAACACCACTGCAGCATCCCCTTGGTTACATGGTCAAAATTCAGATGCTTGGCAGCTGACTCACATTTATGATGGTTGCAGAGTCCTGGGGTCACATGATCCCCTTTTGCAACCTTGTGACAGGCCAAGTCACTGGAGAAGCCAAATTCACTTAACAACAGTGTGACTAATTTAACAACTGCAGTGATTCGCTTAACAACTCTAGCAAGCAAGGTCATGAAATGGGGCAAAATTCATTGAACAAATATCTCATTTAGCAACAGAAATTTAGGGCTCAATTGTGGTCATAAGTCAAGGACTATCCATATAGAGCAACCAGAAGACAGTTTTAAGGCAGAAAAATGATAATCCATCATTATGGACACATTAATGTAGATTACTACATTTGTAAGACTTCAATTTAATTTATTATAAAGCCCAGTGTCAGCCTCCACCTTTACTGCTTTGGCTGCCATAGTAACGGGAGGGGGGAGAGCTAGGTAGCATGGGAGGGGGGAAGCGTGCTGGAGGAAACGAAACCGATAGTTAAGCCACCGGACTGTATTTTTGTTAAGGATATTGTTGTTGTGTTACCAACCAGCAGAGTGTAGAGCACAGAGAAACGTTGCTGAGAGCAATGAATAAGAGATATGCAAACTGGTTTATCAAAGGTTTACTTTATAGTGAAAAAACAGTCTCATAGTCTTTTAAATCAATCCAAGTCTTTGCCAGTTAAATCAGTCCAGTGATACAAAATCTTCTTACCGCACAAACAGTAGTTGGTTAGAATAATAAACTCACTCTGGTTCACAAACCACGATGGTAGCAGATCCATCCAACGATGATAGCACAATGGATAGCACTCCTCACACAATGGTAGCTTATCATCAACTGAATACATTACAGTACCTTTCTTAAATACGTTCACAACTAATTACAGCATGATTCAGCATTACAATGAATCAGCAGGAAAACTTTAAAGTCACACAATACATATTCATATTAAAGTCACAGAACACATCTATTGCCTGGACAACTTGTTAGGCTCAAATCATATCCTAACAATCTTTGAAGCTGCCGTCGGGCCAACGGTCGTGGCATTCCTGATCGATGACATTGCCAGATGTGTGCTTCCACCTGACCCCTGGGAGACCTTTGGATTGGATGATATACGGTGGACAGTGGGAGGGGATGCTTTCTATATGCAATTTTCGCACGCATTGCCTTACATTCTGCTTTCCTTTGGTTGCGTTCACTTCATTTTCTAGTAAAAGTACCTTTCTCTATAAACAATGGAGTTTGGGTCATTCTTTCCTGGACTTTGAAAGAAGCACACCTGACATTAAGCAGAAATCTCTTCTCCAGCCATCCTGGATAAACACTGAGGGGGCTGAACCCAAGATATGTCTGACCAAGAGAGTGAAGGAGACCAGATGGGAGCTTCTGGCTCTATGATGACTTCACTTCAAGCGGAGAAGGAAGCTGCAGAATGGATGGAAAAAATTTGGCTAAGAGAGGAGCCAGAGGAAGCTAGATGGTCGAGGGGAGTAGGAAGGTTGCCGGACTTGGGGAGGACCCCCCAAGGAGTAACCAGCTCCAGACCTTGTAAGGGAGAGGCGGTGTGGCTGCAAGAGCAAAAGGAGAGCCTCATGATCGCTCAGGCGATGCAACTCCTCCGCGATGCTGAGGAAAGCCGCAAAAACTGTGAGTCTTATGTATTCCCTGTGGGGAAGGGAGGAGACTACCCCAGACTGGATCCAGAAGAGACAGCCTGTGGGGGAGAGGAAGAAGAAGCTGGGGAAGAAACATCTCAGGCTTCTGGAGCTCAAGCGAGGCATGCAGCAGCCCAGGGACCCCCAGCCTTGCAGGCCCCACCCTGCAGACGCAAAAAGCGAAAAATTCCCCCCGAACCGGAAAATATGATGGGAACCCGAAGACCTTGGGGCTTTTCTTGACCCAAGTGTGGAACCACATGCAGGACTGGGGGGAGGATTACTTATCAGATGCGGCACGAGTGAGATGCGTCACAAATGTCTTAGAGGGAGTAGCAGCTGAATGGATGGTGGTCCTCCACAATAATAACTCTCCCTTGCTGAGGAATTACAACCTGTTCATGGGGGCTCTTAGGAGGCGGTTTGAAGACCACCTAGCTGAGCGGAAAGCGAGACTCAGAATGAAGGGTATCCAGCAGGGCCGGAGATCGGTGGCAGAATACACCCAAGAATTTCGCGAACTGGCACTCTACATGACAGGGTGGTCAGAAGCGGCCCTACTGGAGAGTTTCAAGGACGGACTGAATGAAGACATATACAAAGACTGTAGAGCACGGGGGGTCCCTGAAGACTTGCAGAGTTGGTACGTAGTAGCTGAGGATGTGGAAATTGAGCTGGCCCGAAGCCAACTCTGAGGGGGCCGTGCAGGAGACCCGTCATCCTCCTTCTACCGCAAAAGAGCACCAAAGGCGGGCGCAGGGAGAGCAGAATTCAAACCAAAATTGAAGCCCTTCACGTGTTTCAAATGTGGAAAGGAAGG